AGCAGAATTGGAAAAATGTCTTTACTGACAAAGAAAAGAAGCAGAAGCAATAGTGTGCTTGTCTGTCTCTCCCTCTCTCTCTCTCTCTCTCTCTCTCTCTCCCCCTCTCTTTTTTGCTGGTCCCTCCCTCCCCCACTTCCTTACCCCTCCTCTCTACCTCTTTCTCTCCTCATATATGTATATTATACAGAAGTGGGAGGGACTAGACATTCCTTATCAATTAACCATATGTTATAAGTATTTCAGGATAATTTCTAGCATTTACATTGCACTTTACAGTTGGCTGAACACTTTTGCACACAATAGCTCAATGAATACTCATATCCAGTGAGCCATAGGTAGTAATATCAGTAATATTAAGATAAAAAATAGATTCAGAACTGTCAATCTAATGATGCAGTGACATTTCAAATAGTTCATAGAAGAGAAACTCAGAAATCTCTTAAATATCTCGGGGAGGCTTCTTCCAAAGGCATTTTAATGACCTATGAGCATTTTCCTTATTTCATAGACCTATGATTTAAATGATAAATAAACCAACCTAAACAACATATAGAAGAATGAGCTAGAATATTACAAAACAAAACAAGTAAAATTTTTAAAGTTTCATTTAAGGGAAGAAAAAAACCAGTATTGTGTTTATGTAAACCTAGAGATAATAATAGTGAAAGGTAAAATTGAATAGTGGGTTAGGGTCATCATTGTAATTATAGTACATTTCAAACTCTATAAAGGCTCGTAATTAGCTACTTATTTTAAAAATATGTTAAAATATTGCTCCCAAACACAAAAACAAATGACTTGTGAGAAACATCCTTAGGTATGAAACTTAAATTACTTGTAACTCTGATAAATACTCTGGTGGTGTTTTGTTGTTGGCATTTCTCTTACCTTATAAATAGCATTACAGCCCATGGTTTTGTCTAGATCCCATGCTTACTATTATGATCAGTAGATATTTGGAGGAAGAAGCTGAATAATTGACTGAATAACATAGCTATTCATCAAGGAGAACAAGAAAACAGAAACAGTTGAAATTGGTTAAAAATAATGCTTATTTAGTACTTTTATTTACAAATCTTGACCTCAGAAAGTATATGCCATTAAAATATGTTTTTTAAAATATTTATTTCAATTTTAAGCTCCACAGGCAAGGTGAAAACTCTTGGTACTGCCATCATACAGACTTTATATCTTATGTGCTCCTTATTTTTCCTTTTCTTACTTCTTGCCTTAAGTTCACACCAAACTATTATTCAGGAACTTTGATGCTCTGATGGCTTTTGATGTTTGGAGACTAACATAAACATGAGGAAATATTTTGATCATTTCAGCAGATTGTGAGATATTGATTTTCATATTTCATGCTTCCCATTAGGAAAGCAGAATCAAAGTGTTTACATAGTGAAAATCTGAGTATGACGTGATTATATAGACAATTTGGATATGGCAATGACTCATATTACTTATGATGAGTATTAAATATTATTTATGATGAAAGCAATTTAAACTTGTATACTATTAGTGAATCTCTCTTTTTTAAAAATATAAAGTCTTAATCAGATATGTAATTCTTAAAGGAAATAAGATGAAGTGTCACCCTTTCTGAAGAAGGTTAGAAAGAAAGAAGAACAAAATATGCTGGCCTTATCATTACCTCCTGCCCCAAAACCAAAGTTGCCTTTGAGACATCTTAGAGTCCATACAACAGAGTTTGAAAATGTGATCTCAAATGGAGACTGGAGAAGAGTAAGGTGGGAGGGAGGTGTGTGTGTACTTCTAAATTATCTTTCCCCTTATTAATCTGGAGAAGAGAAGAGACATTTAGGATGTGAAGGCTCTCCCTAAATATACTTGAAGATAATTACCTTCTGGGAGCAGCTTCATGTATTTTGCACAGCCCATTTATATAGAATTTAGACAAGTGTTTGGAGAATGCCAAGATACAGATATTAGCTTTCTTCACGTGAGGGAGAACGTGTTGCTTCAGATAGAATTGGGTGCTGAATGGGCTTCTGATCGCTGCCTCTTCAACATGAAATTTTAGTTTCAAATTTTTTAGCACGCATGCTCTAGGGGTTATTAACTAGCATGTGAGTTGCATGATTCTTTCCAGACCTCAGATTCTGTGCTTCTAATGGAATACCAGACTTAAAACTGTGATGTTTATCTTGAAGACTTATTTTTATAATAGCTTCAGGAAGACAAATTAGATTTATATTTATAACTCAAATAAATATTTCTCCTGAAGTCATACAGTATTTTAAGTATAACATATACAATATTTTTGAAACAAAAGTCCAGATTTGGGGTCTTTTCTGATAGGCCTTGTCCATGTGGGCAGTGTAATAGCCACTCCACTGCTGGTGGCATGGATTGATGACGCTGGATTCCTTTTATAGAGATGGTGAAGCTAAAGGGGACTCTGATCTATAGACGTAGAAGATACTCCATAAGACAAATCAGAGTCTCATTTCCTTCAGCTTAACAAAGTCTACTAAACTTTCTGGTATTTTGTATTCCTCAGTCTTGCTCCATGAAATCATTTTATTCTCTAACCCAAACCTATTCTTTCTAGGTCCCTAGATTTTGCTTTCTAGTGAGTTTATTCTTATTTCTTATGTAAGCATAGTTTCTTTCCTTTAATACAGAAGGTATTATACTTTGCTGCTGATGGTGATTCCACCTTGTATGTGTTTTAAATCATTTGTCTTTCTCTGTTCTAGAAATCGACCTCCCCTGAAATACTCTCTACTTTAGGAGAGGTCTCTATTCCCGTCTTTTTCCCTATTCTACCCTGTTCTTCCTTCCCAGTAACTTCCTTCAGTGTGAGCTCGTGATCTGGCTGTTGCTTGCCTCTTTGCTCTCATTCCAGACCATTCTTCTCCCAGCCCACTACATATAGATTCATTGGCCATTGTGCTATTTCTTGAATAGACCGAGGTGGCTCCAACCTGAGGAGTTGCAGCAGCCTGGAATGCTCTTTACTCCTGATTTGTTTATTTATTTATTTTTTTACTTTTTATGACCAGCAACTTCCAATCTCATTGAGATCTTAGTTTAAATTTTTACTCCCACAGATGTCTTCCATAAAACCCGAAACAGAGTATCCTTTACATATTACCCTATTTTAAACTTTCTGTAAATTACTTATAGAACACTTTTATCTGTGAGTGTATTCATTCAAGTAGGCACGTGGTCTGTTTTGCTCACCAAAATCTCCAGCACCAAGAAAAAGACCTAGCACATAATGTGAACTCAATAAATATTTGTTGAGTGAACAAATAAGTGCATGCTCCGTCATTCCAAATGTCCTCAGATGTTAACTTGGCTGAGGGTGAAATCTTTCAATTCTATTATAACTGAAGCTTATAGGAAAATACAGCTTTATCATCTTTTGTTAATTTCCTGCCCATAGTATATTTTATAAAGATGTTAGGGGAAACATGCCTGTATGTATTCATGTAAAAAATAATTAAAAATTAGTCACATTTTGGACAATGAGGAGAGGGATATTTTAGAAGTCAAAAGTTCAGAACATCATTGGAATTAAACATTAAAGGAGATAATTATTTAGAGATTTTGTTCATAACTTTTTTGGTCTTAAAACTTGTTTCCTTCTTTCACACCTTTTTCATTTACATGATCTATCAAAATTACATTGAGGTTACCTTTTGCCCAGTTATTTTAATATGCACCCATTATAATGAGTATAAATAAAAATGATGTTTCAGAGCAATGCTAAACTTAGTTATTTTGTAGACTGGCTAGTTATATTCTAAAACTTTTTTTTTTTAATTGAAGACGGATTGTTTGGCAAATTTCTTAATATTTTTGTTTTCTATAAAGGTTATTAGTTTCTTGTGATTTGGGAGAAAACATATATTTTGTTTTTAATTTGCAAATTTTATGTGTCAGGAAATAATAGCGCCACTGTATAAACTTAGTGTTAGAAAGATGCTAATAAAATTCTCTTGCCTTATTGAACTTCCTAGTTTCTCTCCTGACTTTTGAATGGTAGTCAGATAGCATTTTTAATGTGTTTTTAAATATGCATGTTGTAGTATGTTAAAAACAATTGTGTAAAGCAAAATCTTTTTCCTTGTAAGGTCTTTTCCTTTCTGTTAGTAGGAACATTTTCATTATCATTCCTGTTTATCACACTAGTTGCAATTAGTGTAGAAAAATGTGTATCTTGGGTATCAATTCACCAGAAAAAAAAAAACCCTGTACTTAAATAACTCTGTTTTTCATAGAGTATTATGTATGACTGTTTTGTGAATTATTAAAAAAAATATGTGTACAATTTTATTTTTTCATTATTGTCTTGGTCTTCCATATTTATTCATTTATGTAATATGTACCATTTGTCAGTAAAATCACTGTGTATTTAAATGGTAAAAATGTATGTATATCCTTTTCACCTTAATGTTCATCACAGATCTTAATACAGTATCTTTCAAAAAATGTTAAATGACCTGAAACATATAAATATAAAACAACCCATGTAAATGTAACAACATAACAAACAAAACAAAACTAATAAAATAAATACATAAATAAACACCTCTCTGAAACTTTTGGCAAGCATTACCTTATCAAGCTTTTTGTGTGTAAATACTTAGTTCAGTAACATTTTTATTTATAGTTATAGATATTAATGGCTATAATTTTACAGCAGAATGCCGTGAATCTATAAAATTAAAAATTTTAATTTTTTTCAAGTAGCTTTCTCTGCTTTCAATAATTATGTCTAATTTTCCAGTTATTGCTAGGGATTAGGCTGAGGTGTTTGACTTAAGGTAGTGTTTAGCTAGGACAGAAATACACAGTCCATACCACACTAGGGACTGGGAGATGTGTTCTCCTCCGCTCCAGGGTTATCTGAGTGGGGCCTGGGGTGGCTGGAGTCCAGGGACTATGGCCTGCAGCAGAGAGCAGCCTTGGGAATAGCCTCTAGCTGGGCTCCTCTGCAGCGGGCCTGAGCTGAGTGGAGTCTGATGGTGCGCCCTGCGGTCCCCGCAGGTGGCAAGCACAGTGAGCGACATCCAGCCCTTGCTGCCCCACTGCGACATGCTGAGCGCAGCCCAGGAGGCGCTCTACCACCCAGACATCTCCTTCAGCAACCAGCAGCAGAGCGTGCCACTACTCATCGTGGACAAGGGCCCCGTGGAGCTACCAGAGGAGGTCGTGGTCCAGGTGCCCAAGGAGCCCAGAGTGCAGCCCAAGGTGCGGCCAGTGGTGGGGAGGGGGGTTTGGGGGTGGCTGGGCAGGGACTCCTGGAAGGCTCAGCCCCAGGCAGTGCCCGAAATGTGTCTTCTCATTTATTTACTCACTGTGGCTGATGTTTGCACTTAGTGGTCTCCCAGCCAGTCATTGAACACTGCATGCTTGTTCTACATTAGAGCCTCCTCATTATGTCAGAATGTTTTACTTTAAATTTCTGAATGGGCTTGAAATATCTCTGCATTATCACAGGAAATTTAAAATTACTTTTAGTGAACATTTCAACTATTGTAAAATGTGACGGTTGTAAAAGGCAAGTTTTAATATTTCTGATCATCTGCGTGTTTGAAAAAAAAATTCTCATCAATGGAAAACTACCAAGATTTTGAGGAGAGTATGATGAAAACACCTTGGTTGGGAATTATGTATATAGTCATTTAAAGCATAAAATCTGATAGAAAAGTGATGGTTATAAAGCAACCTAATTTTCTTATGAAAATGTTGTAAGTACTTTATAATATTGTCTGTGCAGCTGGTAAGTGCAGTGAATGACATCCATCTCTTGAAGCCCTAGTGAGAAATATAATATTTGCACAAAGTTTAATACTCTTCTTTTCCCCAATACTTTATGTAATACTTAGGCAATGTAATTTTTCTCACTAAACTCCATACAGGCACTCCTATCCCTCTTATTTCCTCCAGGGAATATAATATAATAAATATAATAGGATATGTAATATATATTTTCTTTATAGATGTAATATATATTTTATATATGTAATACATATTCATTTTTGTGATATATGTTATGTTAATGTTTATTCATTTATAATAGTTAAATTAATAAATTTATATGAATGCAATATGCATATATTTCATATATATTATATTAATAGTTTCCTTTGTATGCTACATGAAAAAGGCTGGGAAGTATTTGGTTGGGGGAACCATAATTATCAAGTCTTTTCCTAAAATTCTGTCCCCTCTCCTACCTCATAATTTCTTCAAGGGGATGATATTCATACAAGAAATACTGGCAAAAGAACATGAAATACCACTGAGCTTACCTTCTTAACCCCATAACCATATTCTCTGGTAAAATAAGCTGGAATACTTGGTTTTCAGTTCAGGGACCATCTAAGATGGATTTTCCAATTCTGACATGTGAGAGTTAAACCTACCTCTCAATTGCTGCGGCCACGTAGAAAGAGTAAGTGTGAGAGTGACTTGGCACTCACGGTGGCTCTGTCCACTCAATGGACACTGTCTGCTCATAGTTCAATCAATGGCCTAGAATCTTCCCATTCAGATTAGCATTTCTCCCTTGGTGTTGATGATTAATGATGGGGGAGTGCATATGCTTCCACAGAAGTGTGTAAAATTGACTCTAGTGTGCTCAACAAATTCAAGGAAAATGTATAGTAAACATTCTTTAAGAACTTTTTTTTTCTGCTTTCTGTTTTGTATTACCATTTCAAACCTGAAATTGTCTAAATTGGAAGCAGTCATATTTTTTGCCGAATGTGCTTCAACAAAGTTTCCCTTGTGATGTTGGCTTTTGATTTATATTGTAAAATAATAATATAAAATTAAAAAACACACCTGCTGGCCATTCAGTTTTGAGGAAAAAAAATCAGAATTATCAGTCGGTTAGAATAGTTTTTACTATAAAATTTTACTAAAAAGTTGGCTGAATTTAAATGTTCCCCAAAATTTATAGCTTATTAAGATTTTTCTATATTACTTGCTTTTAATTTTTGTCATGTATGTGACAGGTTTCAGTGTAGTAATGGGTTTTAAATCATGCTTTTCTCTCAACTTACGAATGGAAAAATTTCATTATATTTTTGCTTTAGACAGAAAAGAAAGCATAGGTATTAGGCAAACTTCATGTGATCTCATAAGTGAAGACTGAAGTAAACGTCATGTGATTTTAAAAGGAGCCTACAGAATCATGTTAATCTGTTATAATGAGACAATAGTTTTTGAAAGTTGCTTTTGCACAAAAGTAACTTTATCATGGAGGTAAAGAGCATCTGAAGGTCATCTTCTCGTTCCCCCTTAAAGTAAAAATAAAGAAAAAAATCAGTAAATATTACAGGGGCATCATCTTTCCTGATGTAGAAGATAATACATACAGCTAGAATGCTTGGACACGTATTAAAAATGAAAGTGAAAGAAGAAATACCACATTACTTTGAACTCTTCAAGTTGAAAAGACAGGGAAGAATGCAAACAAGAGAAGATCCAATAAACTCCGGCTCCCTCCCTTTCTCCCTTCCTCTACCTTTCTCAAAATAAAAACAACTATCTGTTACAGAAGCAAGATACTCTAAGATACAGAAAACTCAGAAATCAATATAAATTATAAAGACTGATATTAATGTAATTCTTAATTGAGAAATCAAATTGATACTCCTTTTAAAAATGTTAACCTCTGTACCTCTGTATTTGTCCTATAGATAGCCAAACAAGCAAGTAGAAACCCAAAGAAAGCAAACCTAACAATATTTAAAAAAAAAATCCTTTTATTGGTTTGAAGTTAACCTTTGTCCTTTTTAAAATTTTATGTTCATTTGACTCAGGATAGCTAATAACGGTTTTTAAGAGTTAATGAATGTTTGGATTCATAGGAATTAGGACTTCACAGTAGAGTAGCAAAGCATAAAGAGTTTAAAATCTCAATGACTTTCTTGTTCTCAGAAGACATGTTTCTCTTTAGCATATTAAGGCAGAAGGAAGTCTCAGGGCAGATTGCCCAGTTAATGACTAGATATCAAGACTTTTCCTTGAAGCCAAAGGAATTTAAATGTGTTTTTTATCAGGATTTTCCTTGCTTTAATTGTGATTGTTCTGCAGATGCGTAAGAAGTTCATTGAGATGATCTACAAATAACCATCCTGCAAGCCACACATGTAGTGTGCAGGGTTCATAGGAGTGTTCTCTCAGAATACAGCGGAAGCATTTCAGTCCTGACAAGTCATAAAAACTCTACCCTGTGCTCATTTTAAAGCTTACCTTTGCAAGAGCCAAAATGCTTTTACAAGGGGCTTGTGTATTCTATCAGTATTTTTGGAGAATCACATTGAACTCTACCATCACCTTTTTTTTTTCTCATTTCCCCACTCTTCGGTTTTTATGTTTATAAATGGGAATGCTTTTATGGTAATTATAAGCAAGTAGAAAACTCCATTTGATTGTTTTGTTATTTTAAACAAAAGTCAACCTTTAAAATTAATCTGAATTATAAAATACTGGATGTTCCATCACTCATTCTTGCCCTTATTTATTTTTTCAATGACATTGGGTTGAGTATAAATGCCTGCTGGATACTGGACTAAGTGCTAGGAAGACACAAACAGGAAACTCAAACTTTGTTCTCTCAGTGAGTATTGGGACATAATAAGAGAGTACAGTGTGGCATATGCTTGCTAGAGGATACCTCTCCCCTATAACCAAAGAGGCCAAGAACCTTGTTTATAAAATGGTAATAGACACAATATTTGGTCTCTGCATACTCAAGAGGGAGTTCTAAATGCAGGAGCAGAAATTATATGGAGAAGTGGTTAAAGGTCTGATCAGGATGGCATGATACAACATTATGCAGAGTTGAGAATTTTGCTGATGGCAGTGAGGGAACAATTAAATTAATCTTGTAGGCATTAAGCAAAGACCTGCTGCCTGCATTTGAACAATGAACTAGAGACTTCGAGACTTGAGATAGGAAGGTTATTCTATTGATTCAAGTAAGAAATGATGCTAGTCCTGACTCAAGGAGTGAGTGACATTAGTGATAATGCGGATCAATTGACAGGAGTTAGAGATTCATGGAATATGTGACTAGGCCAAAAGAAAACTCAGAGGACAGTCAGGTTTCTAGCTTGAAAGATAGCATGATGAATGATTGTACCACTTACTGAGATAATGACAAGACGAAACAGAGAATGTTGGTATGGAAGGATGGTGTTAGTATCCAAGCATGTACAAGTAACTTCTTCAACACATTCCTTTGACTAGAAACCTGAATTTTTTGCCCCCAAATTAAGAACTCCTAACTTAAATACAATACACAAATCTGAAAAAAAGATAATTAAAAATGCTATTTGTTGATCATAAGTTATTCTCATCAAAAAGAAAAAAAATGTTATTACCATTCTTTGTGAGGCATTCTGTTTGGCTTAGGTATGATAAGATACTCTGTAACAAAAGAGCATCTGCTAGGATTTTTATTCAATCCTTCCTTCTACTTCCCAGTAATACCTAGCAGGGCTAGAGTGGAGCCAAGATTAGATCTGATTTTGAGCTCTCCTGTGTTCCCAGCTGACAGAATGCTTATTATATATGTGCATTCACAATACGGACTTCTCAGTTCTATGGCAGGGAAACAGATTGGACAGTTAGGACAGTTGATCTACAGGCCCAGATATATTTGACATTCATTCAGTTCTTAGTACAATGTTCCATGTCAAAATTTGGAAGAATACAGGAGACTAATCTGCTCATATTTGTACTCATTCACAGCATAACATGACACACAGTTTAATAAAATAATAACAAAAGATAATCCCCACGGGTCTTTTGAGAGTACCTCAAAAATGAGTCTTGATTTATACTCTTGCCTAATTAAACCTGATTATTAGAATAGCCTATCCTTTGATGACATTGTAAAGTGATGCTATTTCTTAAAGAGATGTCTAATATTCTCAGTGGTTAAGAGTCTAGAAAATTACAGCTGCCCTAAAAAAAAATAAGCATTTTTAAAGTAAAAAATATAAGACTGTAGTTGAAGAGCTCACCTAATTTTACATGTAACAGTATTATAACAAACTGATAGAGGCAGAGAAAGGGTGGCAAAAACTTATTTGTTGGGTTACTTGTTTAACAAAATGATTTGGGAATGGAGTCAATTCTTTTATATACCATGAACTCACCAACATGAGAGGGCAAATTAGTGGCCACTGGAATAAATGAGGAACAGGGAGTGGTAAATGTGGGATGCTTTA